ATTTTGATTCCGGTATTAAATGCCAAATGAGACCGCGAAAATTCGTATACAGGGTGCCCAGAAATAACATTCAGACAATTTAAGTTCATATGAAAAAATAAGATTTTTTTTTTGTATGAACGGTTTTCAGGATGCAGGGTGTCAATAAATAACTTAAATATCCCCTGACCAATTTTGTTGAAATTTGAAGTGGATTAGGATTAAGAATTAATTAAATTAAAATCAGGAAGAGTGGCATACCCGTAGGCATGCATCGATTATTTTTGACAAAAAAATGTGCGCCACGGCCTTTAAGGCCGCAGTTTTTCTTTCAATTTAAGCACCTAAAAGTGCAAGTTTTTTGTCTCTTGCTTAGTTTTCGAGAAAAAAAAAACAATTTACCGGATATCCATACGCAACGAATTCTAGTAAAAAAAAATCTTATTTTTTAAATCATTCGAACACCCTGTATATTTGAATTATTTAGAACAAACGCTACGTTACAAGTAAAGGGTTTTTATAGTTTCGTGATATTGTGTGGCGGAAATATCATAACACGGTATTTTTGAAAAATTGAACCGTAATACTTAACGCCGACCTCTCTCTAGGAACGAAATCGAATAGTGACGCTGCCCGACCAAGGGTTTACTACGCGAACATCTGTAACGTTCCAATCAAACCCTTCCGTTCGACCCAACCAGGTACACAGCTGGAAATTTTTAATCAAACCTTCCGTATGCAAATTTGGTTACGACAATTGTTACATATTGTGCGTGCGGCGGAACAGACGACATTTTGCTACCTGGATCGGGGCAAAAAAAATGCCATTTGAATAACAAAAAATTGAAATTTTGTTTTGAGACTGGTAGGTGAAGTGTGGTCACCGTATAGGCAAAGGGTTAGCTGTTTAGATTTATGATCTATTTGGAAGTGACCCATGAGGTGCGAGTTTCCCGTATTAAAGGCGTGACGCCTCGTGTTTTCGTCGGCTGCCAAAATACCGTCCGTTTTACTGTCTTAAACCATTTCTTAATACATCTAGAAAATATTTTTGCACATCCATTTAGAAATTTTATTATCACTACTAAAGGACATAAAATCGTAGAAATCGCTAATTTATGTGTAAAGGAAAGATCTTATAATGACTTCAAAAGTTAACAAAAGCAGTACATAAATTTGTATCACATTTTCAAGTAAATCCAAAATAGTAAAAAAAATATTTTGGATTTGTATTGCCATTTTTGTTAAGTCTATAGCATGTAGATTACATCGCAGAAGACATACATTGGAAATACTTTATTGATCATGCTTCATGTTTTGAAAATATTTACTGGTGCGTGAATGCACCACTGGTTTTATCAATTTGCGAGTTTTTAGTATTAGTTTGTGCTTGTGCAAATAATTAAAGACGGCCTTTCAAGTTCCCGCAGCAGTTTTTCAAAAATACAACTCTGTTTTGTAGTCGGTGCAATTTTTGTCGACTGTACGACACCGGGACGTAATTGACAAAGGTAGACCACTGGCAATGGATGAGTTGTGCCATTCCGAATATACGAGTGGAAGCAGGTAAAATACTGAAGCACTTTCAGTCTTGGTTTTATGACCGACTATAGCATCGCAATCAACAAATCAAAAAATGAACCACTCTTAAAACCAACAAGAAAACGATTACAAAAGTACCTAAACAACGCAACTAGTCATATGACCAAAAACATTCTTTTCTTTTTAAAAATATCTTTTAGTCCTCTTATTAGTATAAGAGAACATTTTGTATTAAGCGAATAATAATTTGCTTTAAAGATAATTCCATTTAAAACAAATTTAAATTTAAAACAATATTTTGTAAACAAATCAATATCAATATAGGTATTAGTAAATTTAGTAAATTAGTAAATTTTCCTTTAATTTCCCTTAAATTGTAGAAGAGTTAATTTATTACAAGGTGATTTCTTGTGCATTTCAAAAACCACTATTTTTCTCGACGTAATAGTTAGCATTTAGTTATTCTTATCAATATCATATCAATGTGTAGCCTAGCCTAGAAAAAGCCCTTTTCCAAAATCATTGCGGGGATAGTGTAAACAGCGCTAAACAAAAAAGATGGAATATAACCCTCCAACAGCATGAAAAAAATACAATTCAATTTAAAACAAAAAATGTTCAGATTTTCACAGTTTTTAATAAAAATTTTATAATTTTAGACTGCCTGTACACCTAGATATGTTATCAAAAATTCATCCGAACTAATTAACAAGTTTAAAGATATTAAAATTCCTCCTAAGGCAATTCTAGTTTCATTTGACGTCCAAAGCCTACTTCCTAGCATTGAAGGTAATAAACATAATAGACAACACTCTCACTCAGAGACAAGTCGACCATATAATAAAACAAGACTTACTAGATAACTTAATAGTTTGTTAATCGATTTTATATTGCTAAAGAATAATTAATTATGAGAAATCCACTTAGTCCACTACTTTCAGAAATTTTCCTGGACAATTTAGAAAATTCGTACATTAACATCCTCTAAGTAAGGGATTTCTCTGGTGGTATAGATACGTAGATGATGTTTTTGCTTGTTTCACTGGAACGGAAAGACAACTGCATTCCTTTTTGGATCATATTAACTCTATCCATAACCGTGTAAAATTGACCATAGGGAGGGAACTATATAACTTTCTAAACTAACCAAAAATATAACTAAACTATGGAAGAAATTACAATTTTTCATTTACGATGAACCCTCACACACGGACCCAATAATACATAATAACTCAAATCACCCTTACACACACAAAATGGCTGCCTTTTATGCTTTTATCCACAGACTACTTAATATACGACTTTCCACAGAAAATTAGGAAAAAGAATTAAATATTATAAAACAAATAGCTTTTAACAATGTTTATGACCCATCTTTGATAGATAAAATTATAACTAAAAAGCAGTTTCAAATTTATAAAACAATAAAATACACAGCAAGAAAATTTCGAAACATCTATCTAAATTTGGTCTTAATATTGCTTTTAAAACTGAAAACCCCATAGGACATTTCTTAAAAAACAATAAAACTAAATTACGTAAAATTAAAAAATCCGTTGAAGTTGAATCATGTCCCAAAATTTATGTCGGACAAACAGGTAGAAACATGAAAGGGCGTATAAAAATAAAAGTTCGGATTCTAACTATGCCATTCCTTTAAATTCAGAAATGCACAACTTTGACGATAATTTTGATATTTTACATAATCAATCAAAAAGCAAAAAATTAAATTTGTTGGAAGCTATGGAGATTAACAAGACAAGATATTCGAATCTATTACTTAATGACCAATTGGATTGAAATGCGTCTCCGTTGTTAACTTTAAATTTATAACCCTATACCAGTAATTAAAAATCTATTAGTACCTGCTTATATACCGGGTGACACAAGAAAGTTGGAATTTGGAAGGGTTAATATATGCTAAATATTCAATTTTGCGAAAATTTTTTTTAAATGGCACAACCTCTATTTTTTGCATTTTTGAATAAGACGGTTTTTTTTTATTAATTAAATGTAATGAACAATTAATTTTTAGGATAACCTAGTTTTTTCAAATAGCATACTAGTGGAAACAAAAACCGGTACTATTTTTGAAATATTTTGGCACCAAAATTTTCAAAATCCTTTAAAAAATAAACTCACAGGGAGGAAAAAACCAAATAAGTATATACATTTGTATAAAAACAAAATATTCGCTTTGCTTTTGATGATGCCTAAAAATGCACAAAAGATTCTCGACAAGCTCATGAATCCAAGAATATAAATATTGTCTTATTTTGTATTTGATAAAGGCACGGTGTGGCCGAGACAGCTGTCATAAATCATTAAAAACTGTGAAAATATGTTCATTTTATGTGCTAAATTTAATTGTGTCATATGGATTTTCATCAAGCAAAAGTCACCTCAGTCCAATGTAAAAAATAGATATCTTCCTCGTAATGATAAGTGTACGAGCCTCGCCGTAGCAAAACCAAAGTCTTGGCGAGTCTTTTAAAATCACTCGGGGCGATATTTGCGGAACTTTCATTGTTGCGCAAATAATTCAGAAGGGCTCCGTATATAAACTAACGAAATTTTGCGGGTCGCGGTGTTACCAACGGATCAATTAAGATCCCCGAGATCCGCCGACACGATTTTAACTTAATTACTATCCTCAAATACAAAACAAAACCAGACGTAAACAGGTAGACGTCTGATCCGAATAAATTATTCAGACGTTCGTTACTTTTTATGTTCCCTGTGACAGTGATCCTCCTTTTTCCATTTTACCGAGGAAATATATTTTATATTCCGAACGACAAGGGTTTTACGGACGCTTTAAAGCTCCCGCCGCCGCCGCCCCGCTTCGGTCGGCGTCTCGCCCCCAATAATCCCCATCCCTCTATCCAATAACACACGTATCCACGTACGTGCGCCCACTAGCCACTGTCCGTCGAACGACAAGAACCGAGCATGCGCATCGACCGCGATCGATAATTCGGAACGAGGGTGGGCGATTCGAGTCCCTTATTGGCCGACGGGGCGGGGCCACAGCGGGGTAATTATCCTGGACCAGGGATACCACCACCGCGTCAGCTGAATATATATGGGGTGGGGGGTGTAGGTAGAAGGGGGTGCATGCCTAGCCAGCTAGTGTGATAAATAACCCCCAACGACACCGAAACGCTCTCACTGTCGAGGATGATTAATTAGGTAGGCCCGACGGCGAAGGATCAGATGCTGCGAGTTGTTTGAATTTTTCGTGGTCTCACGCAACGTACGGGGTTATTCATTAGACCCACCTACAGGGTAAATTCGGAAAGAAATAAAAAAAGCGTGAAGATTTTTGCTCTATTATCTTACGCAAATGTCAGAAAAAACAAACGACGATCGTAAGATGGAATGCCCTATATATTATTAGCTTAAATCGTAGATCTTTTTTCCCTGATTTCAAAAACATAGGGTTTATTGTCATTTCATTTAGCTGTTTTTGAGATATTTCAGTTTACATCTTTGGTAGCTACTCCTAAAATGTGAAAACTCCTTCCCAAATTGGTAGAAAATGCTATATCATGCACGGCATCAGTAGGGTGTAACTTAGATAAACTGGGATTCCATGAAAGACAACTTAGCGACAGTTTGCATTGTATTTCATGTTGCAAGATCCACTGACTCAAATTCATAACATCTGGAGCTTCGTAAATCCTTATAATTCCTTCGGCAGAGCATGTTGCCAACTGCAGTCCTTGATTTTTTGGTCCAAACTTAACATCAGTGACAGATGTTCTAGAGTCAACCAAATTTGTTCGTCTGACACAATGCCTAGTGCCTCTTTTACCTGGAGCAGGATCTCCAACTATTTCTTCCCAAACAGCGGCAGTGCGATCAAACGAACAAGTGGCCAGCACTTGCCCTGGATGAGCCCAGGTAACTTTCCAAACAGCCCCGCTGCGCGCTTTCTAGCTGCAAGTTTGCGTCCATTTTCCTTCCTTATTTTGATTCCACACTTTAACAAAATGATCGATAGAACATGTGGCCATGCGAGTACCATAATAATCGTAAACCACATGGTTGATAAGGTCTTTGTGTTCTGCATTAATTTCTTGTGCCTCATACATAATTATATCAAAATGCGAAAGGAAATAAATATCAAAAACTTTAACGAATTTGTGTTTATAAAACTTTTAACCACATGAACTTTCATCATTCGATTTCTGGACAACAGCCATATTGTTTAAAAATGATCTAGTCTGCCTTGATAGCAATCATATTATCTATGTTTGCAATTGTTTCAACAATGTTCTACTTTTGACAACTGATCGAAACTAAAGATCTTCAGCGGAAATTAAATAACTTAAGATATTTCAAATGGATCATACTGAAGAAGAAAATAGCCATAGTTGCTATCAAGGCAGGCTTGACCATTTATAAACAATATGCCATGTGATTGCTGGACAATACCCTACTGTTTGAGGTTGAAAAAACGACAAATAATAAAATTGTATTATTCAAACGGACATAATGTCGCAAGGGTTAAAATATACGCAACTATATCCGGGTAGAACAGTTCCTTCAATAAATACATTTGAAAATGTAATTAAACAGTTTGACGACCGAAATAGTGTCACCCGGAAGACCAGGACAATAGAAAGAAATTTTGATGAAGACCTCAATACTTTGAGTTCTACTTTCTTAATTTTTATATTCAATATATTTTAGAAAACCCTGAATATTCTATACCTGACGTTAAAAAATTATCCGGAAAATTCAACGAAGGCTAAAATATCATAAGTTTCACCAATATAAGTTCCTTCCAGTGCAAAATTTAACCGATGAACGTAAAAGACAGAAGTTCAAATTTTGCACTGAAATGTATAAAAGATCTCAGGAAGATGGCACGATGAACGTCAGTTAATGTGTGGTGTGGTATGTTGAACAATATTTAAATGATATTTAAATTTCCTTGCAACAGAAATAGAACAGTTGTTAAAAAATGTACCAGTTAGGAATTATTTATTTAAAGTTAATTTAGCATCAAGATGGCGCACTCCACATAATGTCCAACCGGTTAACGATTATCTAAATAAAAAATATAGAATTTGGATAGGTAGACAAGGAACTATAAAATGGCCTGTCAACAGCTCCGGCCTGAATCCTTGTGACTTTTTTTGTGGGGATACTTAGAAAATAAAATTCATTATAATAGGCTTGACAGTTTACAAGTGATAAGAGAAAGACTTAATATCGTTTTACAAAGTCTAAACAGAGAAAACCCTGATTTTACCACCTCGTGTATTAATGGGAAATTGAAAGGAAATATTGTCCGATGTTTAGAAAATAATGGAGTTTACGTGGAAAACGTTTAGCATTAATTATTGATATTTTTATTGTTTGAATAATATAGTTTTATTATTTGGCGTTTTTCTTCCTCAGTATCACCTATTTGAAATATCTCAACTAATTTAACTAGCTGTCAAAAGTAAAACATTTTTTCAAACAATTGCAAACATATATGGTAGACTGGACCATTTTTAAACAATATGCCTATTATCCGAAAATCGAATGATAATTATTTTAAAACTGAAATATCTCAAAAACGGCTAAATAAAATATCAATAAAGCATATGTTTCGAAAAATATATATATAGGGCATTCGATTAAAAAAAAAGATGTTGCTGTCATTTTGACAGCTTGCGATCGTCGTTTATTTTTTCCGACATTTGCATAAGATAACAGAGCAAAAATCTTCAGACTTTTGTATTTACACTTTTTTTTCTATCTTTCATAATTAACCCCGAAGTTGGGTGTCAAAATATAATGAATAACCCAGTACAGGCTGTTTTAAACATTTCGATATGAAATATGGCATTACAAAAATCTTATTTTTTTTTTAACTGCGTAACAAACCATTCAAGTTTTCCCCCACAGGTGTCAAATTTGAATAGGGAAATATCATAGGAATATTTGAAAGCTAAATACTGTATTTTTGATAATTAGAAGTTTTCATGTTGCCAATAGTCTGAAAACATGTTTCTAAAATGCCTTCTAAATCTACATAAATGACAAAGGGTACCGTTTCTTGATATTCTTCATCTTCATATTTTAAAACATCGTTAAAATGTGGGTAGGATGGGTTTTGGATATAGAGCATTGTCAGTTTCCAGTGTTGCATCAAAGAAGGGTCTAACTTCTGAAAATTTATCATTTTTATCCAACAGATTATTGTCAGATAAGTGCAAGTTTTGCTTTATCAATTGGAATCTATTGCCGCTCATACATTTTTTTATAAGATCAATTCCTTTGTCTTCATCAGTAGACCAATAATGCTAAATAAGTGGCAATGAATGATAACCCGAGAACAATAAAATGCCTACAAAATTTAAAAGTTCATTTTTTGACAACGAGAATTCATGGCGGTTATTGTCTTGATAATATTTTACCGAAAATTTTAAAATCAAATCAATCACTTCGCCATCAAAAAACATAAAAAATATTTCAAGCGGAGTTTTTCCAGAAGGCCTATTTTTTAGTTCCTCGCATGATCTAATTCATCGGATATAGGTGTGTGAGTGTACTTAATCCGACCTTTCTTCCATTTGACAGTAGAAGCAAGCCTGTCGTTTGCAGAAAGCATACATCTTCTTTTGAATTCCATGGTTTCATCATCTGATGAGTCCCATTCAGGTTCAGTAGTTGATGAATTACAGGACTGTTGAAGGACAGCTATATCATTCGGTGTATGTAATTCGAAAGTTCCAACTATATCATTTGGTTCTCCAAACTCTTGTAGAAGTATGTTATCGTTCATATCTTCTTCGTCAGTCAAGGTATCCACGTCGGGTGGAATATAGACCGGGTCAATATATTATGTAAATATTTTTTCACGTTATTTTTAGCACAAATTAGAATACGTAAATCCAAATAATACTTACGACTGTCATTATTATTGTACTCAACCGTCACGATCTCCTCCATAGCCGCCTCTAATTCCTTTTGAGTCAAGGCACAAACTAATACTAAAGAACACTAAAGGTAATTGTCGGATGTTTATTCTACATGCACTGTCTTGTCTATAGTTGCAATAACAAAGTTTTGTTTCACAGATAAAACCAGTGGTGCATTCACGCACCAGTAAATATTTTCAAAAAATAAAGCATAATCAATATAGTATTTCCAATGTATGTTTTCTGCGCTGTAATCTACATGCTATATACTTAACAAAAATGGCAATACAAACCCAAAACATTTTTTTTCTACTATTTTGGATTCACTTGAAAATGTGATACAAATTTATGTACCGCTTTTGTTAACTTTTGAAGTCATATATAAGATCTTTCCTTTACACATAAATTTGCGATTTCTACGATTTTATGTCCTTTAGTAGTGATAATAATAAAATTTCTAAATGGATGTGCAAAAATATTTCCTCGATGTGACAAAAAAAATCATAGAATTGATGGTGAATTAACGCACCACTGGGACAAAATGGGTTAAGAAAGTAGGACCCCAGATATCGATTATCTTACAGTGGCTTAAAACACTTTAATAACTAACTGTTAACCTAGTGCTCAGCGAAATTAAAAGGTGCAAATTTCCGTGAAATTTATGTGCATGTTATTGAGTTGGGAACCACGCTAGCAAGAAATAAGACGCCTGTGACGTCAGCTTTCGTAAGGCGAGAGAGCGAATATCTCGCCTCGTCTTTTAAAAACTCTTGCTAATTATGAATGAAGAACAGTTTCTCCGCGTACGCCGGCGATAGTAGGGCTAGGTCAGGGTCTCTGTCTTCTTTTTCCTTCGTTTTCTTAAAAAAAAAGAAAACTTGGCGCCGCGTAGCGTCCCGCAACAATAGTCGGATACAGTGGCGGCGCATGTAGTAAATCGTGCCGATCGGATTTCTAGGTTTCTAAAACTGTATCGGCGAATATCTCGTTACGAAGGGCTATTTAATTACCAAAAATAATAGATAATTTATTTTAATGTTGGCTCCCCTGTACATTTTATAGCAAACTTGTGATACAACTTTTTAAAGGGGCCCGGTATGACTAACTCGTGTGTCGAATTTGAATAAATTTTAATACGCCAATATTCCATTGTTGAATTAAATATGATGGGAAAATTTGAAAAGATCAATTCAAGCTGGACAATGACATGCCAAATAGAGGTTGGTTTACCAAAAAGACATTCACAGTTGGTTTCTCACATTCAAAATAAATTAATTATGTAGGTATAGCATTAAGTTTATCTTAGGATAAACACAAACTTATACATGGTTCTTAGGACCTCCTCGTCCCTTAAAGCGTTCTTGTCCAGTCTTTTATTAAAAAGAATTAAAAAACATTGCTAAAAGGAAAGGTTATTTAAAATAAACATTCGGCCTACAGGGTTAGTTTTGACAGGTCGAAAAAAAAGGACAAATACAAAAGTTTTAAGATTTTTGCTTTATTATCTTATGCAGACGTCAGAAAAACCAAACGACGATCGCAAGCTGTCACAATGACAGCATCATCATTTTTTTTAAATGGCATGCCTTATATATAATTAGCTTAAATCACAGATCTTTTTTTTTTATTTCAAAAACATATAGTTTATTGACATTCCATTTAGCTGTTTTTGAGATATTTCAGTTTAAAAATAATTATCATTTGATTTCTGAACAATAGCCATATTGTTTATAAATGGTCAAGCCTGCCTTGATAGCAACTATGGCTATTTTATTCTTCAATATGACCCATTTGAAATATTTTATGTTATTTAACTTCCGCTGCAGACCTTTACTTATGATTAGTTGTCAAAAGTGGAGCATTATTAAAACAATTGCAAACATAGATAATATGATTGCTATCGAGGCAGACTAGATCACTTTTAAACAATATGGCTGTTGTCCAGAAATCGAATGATAATTATTTTTAAACAGAAATATCTCAAAAACAGCTAAATAAAATGTCAATAAACTATATGTTTTTGAAATCAGCAAAAAAGATGTACCATTTAAGCGAATGATATATGATATAATGATGTTGCTGTCATTTTGACAGCTTGCGATCATCGTTTGTTTTTTCTGACATTTGCATAAGATAATAAAGCAAAAGTTGTCAAACTTTTGTATTCACACCTTTTTTTCTATCTTTGAAAATTAACGCTGTAGGTGGGTGCCAAAGTATCATCATCATTTCATCGCCTTCTCGAGGCTCTTGGTGATTTTCGTATTTATAGAAAAATAGTTGTTTTTTTAATTTGCGCAACACTGCGGTTTGATATTTATTTACAGCTTGTAAAATAGCCTTGTACTTATCATTATGTTTTCCTCCGCATGCAGTAAAATGTTTCTTCTGCTCTATTATCGACATTTTCAATTGAACATATGCAGTTATTTATTACGACACATTTGGACTCGTATTCGGTTCGGTAATAATACGTTTAATTGTTGAAGTCGAAGACTATTTTCTACATAATACCACTTAATTATTATTACTTCTTCTTCAATTGAATAGCGCATATTTAGCATCAATTAAGGCGTGTTTAATAACGTATAACAACCACAAATACAAATATTGTTACTGTCACGAAATTTTATTATTAATTGAACTGAGGTGGCTTTTACTTGATGAAAATCCATTTATCAAAATAAATAAGAACTAAAAGTTTTTTTTAGTTCTTATTTATTTTGAATTTTATTATTACCTAAACCATAAAAATTTTCCTATATCATCATATTTAATTCAATAACTGAAGATTTCCTCAAGAAAATATATTCAAACTCGGCACATGAGTTAATCATACCGGCCCTTCAAAAAGTTATATCACAATTTTGCTGTAAAATGTACAGGAGAGCCAACATTTGCCCACCTAAAAAGTGGCATGGGATTTAGTATGTTTCGTTCGGCCCGGCATACATGGTGTCAAAACCCCGTCACTCATTACGTTCAACAAGGGAATAGGGCAAACGTCGCTTCTCTTGGATGTCTTAAAGGAATGTAAGTCATCTATTATGGTAAACTTCGAAAAATATTGAATTCTAAGATTAACTGATGAAGTATAAAATATTGTCTATACAGTGAACTACTAAAATATGCAACAAATTCATTTTTTCTTGCGTATTTTTTACAGTGAATAAAAAATTTACAAGGGGGAAAGTTATTTTTTTAATGGAATTGATAAAAAACATATTAAAGAAATTATTTGATTAAGTGTTGCAAATGCCCACAAAACACACATTAATCTGACTGACATCGTATCTAATTCAAAATTTTAAATCATCTAAATTTTGTGGTTTTTGCGTATCCACTTTTGATTTTAAATATTTGTTTTTGGGGTAGTTGTGTATGATTTTCTAACAACCATTGGCGATTATTTGTACTCCAAAATCTACAATTTTGTTTATTTACCGCACCAAAATGTGTATTGAAATAATCAATATTTTTCTTAGTTCCTAAGTCGATTTCTTGTTCGCACTTTATGTAAGTACACTAAATGTAATAGTTAATTAAATCATTTTCGTTGTTAGTATCGGTAAACATATTAATGGCAATAAAGTATTTCATTTTTATTGTATACTTTTATACGACATTAAAGTTGTTATTTTTATAAACGGTTATTATTATTACTAGTCCTAACCGCACCCTTAACTACGCAGCAAAATACTTTGCGGAAATACGCGCGCTGTGCACTCTGTAAAATTTTAAATTTGGCCTTTAAGAATTTAAGAAAATGGTGGATGCGCTGGTTCCATGTACGTATTATTCTATACAATTTTTGGTGACCTCACGTTTCAAAAATCGTTTCGCATGTTCGAATTATAGGAACCTCATCCTTTAATTATCTCAAATCTTTAAAGCGAGAACTCGGAATATGTGCGCGAGAAATCAGAATAATCAAAAATCAATAGGGTCAGTCAACCCTAATCACTTTCTACCATTTGGAAGCTGCCCTTGGAAAACTGTGTACTTACCAATCATTTTTTTAAAGTAAATTACAAAGAATACATTTATTAAAATAAGAAGCAATTTTAACAAAATATCTTACTATTAAGATAATATAAATAATAATATAAAATCACAAACTTTATAAAAGTAAAAAAAAATACAAAATTTGGTAACTTAGGCATATTATATTATATCATTATTGAGTGCCATATAAAAACATTATCTGTGCAAAATAGTAGCTAAACTAGAATCTTTGTTGCTCATATTAGTATTTATTTAATTGCTTAAACAGGCACATTTGTAATATAAGTAAAAAATGCATTAATATCCGCAGGATTCTTTGAGCTAGACATTGACGGGTTTTGGTTGGCTAGTTGCAACAGTTTCTAGAGGTATGTTAATGACACTGTCAGCTGGCTCGGACCAACCTTTCTGTAATTCCTCAATCTTTTTCTCCTGTTCTTGCTGTCTTTTGTACTCTTCTAGTTCAAAATAGTACTTTGGAGTTGTAATACCAAACAAGGATGCTAAAGATTCGCCAATGTAGTCGATGACAGATAGTGTGGTTTCTCCGGCAGCCCAAGTTTTATACACCATCCAGGGTCCCCATGATAGAGTTCTCTAAGATATATTTATTTAATAAATATTATTCAAAATAATAAACACAAACTATGCAAACTTACGGGATCGACAACTTCTTTATGGGGCGAGTCTACTTCCTCATCATCTGTACTATACTCTTCCAAAGTACCATCAGAAAAATGTAAAACACGTTTAGGTGTTTTATTATGATACGGACGATGCTTATCTGCTTCAGAGTCTGGTCTTATCAATACCATTTTTTAAGAATTTGTATACAAACAGGGCCAACAATGTCATTAAAATAACGATGACACCCAGAGACGTTTACCACGAACCACAGACCACAAATTGGTCTTTTACCTTTTTATTCTATGGTCATTAAGAGTAAAACACATTACTCTTACTATTTATTTGGCGCATTCAAATTGGTAGCAGCTAAATCACATAATTACGAATAAGCCAAAACTAAGGCATGTCTATTTGTCCAATAAAAAACAAACCGTAAATACGTCCACCCAAATCATGGTACGTAATTTGTGATTTATCAGCAACTACTACCACACAGCCCTGAGCAGTTTGTTTCCTGTACATAGAGAGTTGCATCCATGCTACAACATAAATATCAAAGTTAACTTTGATATTCTGTGATAAATTGTAGGTACAGAACTCACTAGCAAGTGCCAAGCGATCCATAAAAGATCAGCCTTTAAAATTTTGAAAAAAAAAAAAGGAGAATTTAATGGTTTTATCAACAATTCTGACAATGCTCATCAGTAGAGAACAATTTTAAACATTTTACCAAAACAACACTAGTGTGGGACAAGGGGCACCTTAATAAAAATAACACAAGTAGCAATAAATAGGCTTTTTTGGGGTACTAATAAATAGATTGTAGAAATTTCAGTGCAAAATAAATTAAAGCTATATATAAAGTGCATAGCAGTTTACAAAAGTATAGATCTACCATAATACTGAAAATCTGATTTCAAACAAAAATTAGATATAACTAAACAAAAATTTGTACAAAAATATTTTCTGACAATTTCGATATGTTAAATTAGGAACAAAACAAACATACTAACAAAATTATAGGCAACAATCTCATACCTTATCATAAACTATAATTAAGCTGGCAAAAAGTGCTATAAAATAGGGGTTATGGAAGTAAATATTTGGTACATTTTTTTAAAATATACCAGGTACAGTGGTGAAAAGAATTTTTATAATTTCCAATAAGTGTTAAATGATTTTTTGCAAAAAACTTATCTAAGATTTTTGTAAAATTGATTCTATGGAAGACAATGAATAAAGGAACTCCAAATGCATCTAAAAATAGTATACAACTTTCTCAGACTATAAGTTTGTGCCTACCTAGCTAAAAATGCTTAGGTAATATATAAATAAATATTATCATCTATAAAAGGCATTATCTATCACATATTTTAGTTTGTTCTAGGCCCTGAATTTTTTGCTCTCTGCTTCATATTCTCAAACTGCATAATTAGAGAATGTGTTCCTAAAAATATCAAACAACATTAATCATGTAAAATAAATTAAGCACCACCTATTGAAAACACAATTTCATACCTGGAAGCCCAGCTTCGTCATCAGACACATCACACAGCTCTGCTAAAGATCTTGCAGGTTTTAAGCTACCCGATCCTGAAGTGCTTTCCTCATAGCCATCATCACTGTTGTTGCAATAAAGATTCGCCATAGATTTGGCAGGTTTAAGCAAATTCGAATGGAAACCACCATCAGTGAACTCATGATTCTCCAGCAACAAGGCAGCCATCAAGTTTGGCTGACTTTTACGCCTCTCTTTTCTCAATTCAGCTTCTCGAGTTTGAAACTCTTCAAGTTCCTTTCTCATTTTCTCCTCTGCTGATATAAATCCGTTCCGTAATGGTTTGCCCCCTTTGCCGACCACTATTTTTGCTGGCTTAAATGCAGCATCGCTGCACCATTCATTGTGGTCGTTGTTTTTTATTGCCAACATTGAGAGCTTGCCTCTGCATTTAATGAACTTATGCATAACGCCTTTTTGGCAATGCGTGCTTGAATTTGGAATAAATTTCCGAAACCCATTTGTCTTACTTGGATCAACATCAGGCTTGGATTCCTGAGAAGAATTCTTGTTGAAATTTTTATAAATGTCACCACAGATTTCCTTAGTCACTTTTGAAGCGTATCCATTCCTCAACTCCTTTTCTCTTTGAACGGATTCTTTTATTTCCCTCTGTATGCGATCTAACGTGTCGCTATAACTCATAACTGAAAAATCAGGTTATGGGCACCGCAAACTTTCGCAAACAATGGGATGTGAAAATTTCGAAATTTCATTTGTTGTACCGGTATAGCGCGAACATGAAAATTTAGCATTTGTTAGCTACAATTATCAAGTTATCTCATTACGGCGTTTTATCTTCTTTTGTTTTATTTTACCTACGCGTCAGGTGAAAGAGCGAACTAACCGTTATCTTTATTCGGATATTGTCGCCATCCTTTTTTTCCTGTCAGAGGCGCATCGGAAGAATTTAGTCTTCCGGGGCATTCGATTTTTTTAACTGGTTTGAACTATTGGCGTTGGTTTGTAATTTAGGCTGTGTACAGATTAAATTTGCTCAGGAACAAATCGTCGTCGTAGACTTGTATATAAATTATTTGTATTAAAAAAAAAAACATATTTCATACCATCTTTTCTGAATAGGACAACTAGATACTAGGTTTGTTTGGGATAGAAACGTGATATGGCCCTCTAATATATGTTACATGAGCGCATATTCAATACTGCAATATGGCCAAAATTACGGCATCCGCAGTATCAACATTTTCTCAGTGAAAGCAAAAAAATCTAAAGCCGTCACTGAACAATTTCGTTAAATAAATGGGTCAATATACGAATGCTAAAATCTGCAGAATTAGCCAGACCGAGGCCGAAAAATCCGGATGCCTCGCAAATTATGAATAAAACGATACTGAGTTATGTGTAAACATTACTTAATTTTAGAATAAACGTATAAATGGGTGTTTCCAAAAAAAAAACAAATGAAATATAGGAAGAATTTATTTATTAATTTTATTATACATTTTTACTTATATTAACTACTGAACCCGCTTTTTACCTTCAAAGTTTTAAACAATGCAAATAGTTGTCCCTGCAGCCGATAAAAATTTTATCTTTAAATACACAGGGCGAAGAAAAGGTCTCTGACTGAAATCTGAAGATGGTCGAAATATACCCAGACGCGACCTTTACTCTAGATAAGTACCCCGAATTGCAAGTACAAAATACGTAAATTTCAGAATCTAACTCGTATACAAAAGGCGTTGAAGAGATTTCCGATTGAAGGAGAAATTTCTGAGTTACACATCCCGACTCGGCGGACACTTCATACAAATTCATATCGTGAGATCCAAAATAAATTTTATCACCTACACGAACCAAGGAAGAAAAGACATAGGCTCCGATATCATATTTCCATTTCACTTTTCCGGCAAAATCAAGGCAATGCAGTGTCCCTAAATAGAGATAGGCAACATTATTACCATATTCACAGAGCACGGAACAGCTACATACTTTAATGAGTCACTATTACCAACTTCTAACTTTCATATTTAGGCAATATAACCAAGTCCACGATTAAGTAAAAAATTCGAGAAAATATAAAAAGCTGAATTTCCTAGTTTCGCCTCGAAAGCCAAACATGGTCTTGAGATTAGTGCACTTTTTTAAGAAAAATATAATGACAAAGGAAAATAGATTTTTTTCATTTGTTTTCACAAAAGCAAAAGTTGATTTTTTTTAATAATAGGCCTCGTCCGCTCTAAACAGACGAAAGTTTTGAAAGGCAATTATTTTGACAGTCCGATTTGTGCTATAAACCTAGCAGGCTTTGAAAACATGGCCTTATCGACAAATGCCTTTTTTGATAGTTTAACTTCTGCTACAATACATTGGTATATATACATTAGGTATATGACCTTTTAAAAATTTACTTCCAATTCTAAATAAACAATAAATTTAATACTAGTTTAGTGTATGTGAATATCTCTTGAGAGAGATCTAGCCTACTATCAAAAAAATTCAAATTTTGCTTTTATAGCCCTAATAAGAATGTTGATAAATACATCATAAGATCCATCCTTTAAAAGTATTTTATGCTCTATCTAACAATTAAAACATTCAATGTAACACCTATAAGAACGATAAAAAAAATCTATTCATTTTGCGCGCAGACACCCCCATCCCTATATTGGAACACTGTATATCAGTAGTCCTCATCCAAATGTAACCAAAAATGAGTTTGCTCTCTTCAGAATCTCTAAGAAACTTATATTTAGAAAGATTTTTGAATTCACAGTTTGTTACAGCTTCATAATAGAAAAATTTATAAGCAATGCCTTGAAGAGGTGCGCAGTTGACACCATTTATATTCTTAGTTAGTTTCATGATCTTTGATATGGTACATTATTCAATGTTAATGTTAGAGCAACAAAAAAAACGGTATTTAAAAAAATGCAATTACACCTCCTGGCGGCCATTCTTAAAAAACTTAAAAATAATTTCCAGCATTTTCTCTTGAACCCGTCAGTTGTAAGTTTTTTTACCCCAAGCCTTTGCAACAATTACATTTCGACATATGACTACCTCTACGAAGTGTTGTTTCAGACCCTTATAGTATAATAAAAACACTATAAGATGTATGTATCTTCATATGTAAGGCAAGATTCCTACCTGTGACATCGGCCCATATGACTGAATCTGTTAGAAGACAAGGAGAACTAAATATTGGATTTCCAGCTGAATATTCCCAAACCAATTCGCCTCGTTGTTCAGTGACGCAGTAACAATTTCCTTTTAAAGTTCCGGTATATATTTTTCCATCGTGACATAAAGAGTCTGAGCATATGCTACCAAGAACCGGTGTTTTCCACAACGATCTTCCATCCTGCGAAATTAATAGATTTTTTTTTCTTTTCAAATTGAGAAGGAAAGAGAATTTTGTGAAAACGCATTTGTATTTTTTTTCTACAGTTCTTTGCAATTGACATTCCCTGAAAAGGTGAACTACAGCAATTGGCAGCAACTTATAAAAGGTACCTCCTAGGACGATAAACCAATATTATGACGTCACCGATCCTCTTTGAAACAGGCTCTGTAATGATACTGTTGTGTTGGTTTTTAATACAACAGCTTAAAAGATAATAATAATAATAATAATAACAATAATAATGTTTGCTGTCCTTGGTATATACCTACAATAATGTTTGACTCTCGATTTTACAAGCATTTGTTAATTTTCACCATTTTAGAAAATAATACATTTAAAATGTATGAAAAATTAACTACCTTCAGTAAAACGCAATGCAAATACTCGTCATAAGAACCAAAAGTGATGGCAGTAGAATTCATACAGAAACAGGGGGTAGATTTTATCTTATCGCCCGTTTGGTACCTCCAAACTATTCGCTTTTCGTCAAAACTCATGCAATACATAACTCCGTCGAAACATCCGACGCAAATGAAATTGGTTGAAGACGATACACACGGTTTGGCTTCAACAACCTGAGGAAGTTCAAACACCATATATGTTTTGCCATTTTCATCTAGTATCGCAAACTTATGAGCAAAACTCCCAACTGCTACAAATAGATGGTCCCTAAAATGTTACAAAAGGTTGGTATCAATTAAGTATAGAATTACCTACATGACTTCAAAAGCAATGGGTGATGCGTCCACACAAGCCTTCAAATCATATTTCCAGATTATTTCAGTTTTTACATAATTTAACATAGATCTCTCTATGTCGGTCTCTGATAACTTCCTTTTTATACCTATAGGTTGGTTTTTTAGATAATTAAGACAGGTTTCGATGGTACCTTCTAAAAGTAGTTCGACCAACTCTGAAGAATCCTTTGCACCGAACTCTACTTCCATTTCTGATAGAAATTGGGTAATTAGGATAGAGCTGGCACCTAGCTCCCGCAGAGTATGGCCCTTGAGCCTATCTAAAACTTCCAATTCGTAACCCAAATATTTACTAAACATGTGCTCTGGAGCATGAATTTCCTTGACTGAACCCAGATTATGCACAAAGCACTTTTCCAACAGCTTATCATTAACCTTGCCATGTGCACCTAGCGGAAATTTGTATATAATTTCAATGTAATCAGGAAAATCCTTGTCCTCGATTATATTAAGTAGCTTCACTCGCAGCTTGTCAAGCATTTTATGTTTGGCTATGTTACTTTTCAATTCTTTAACCAAAATAAAGGCCAATATTTTTTGACAGGTGTTAGAAAAAACAAGTCTACTTTGTAAACCTGTTTCTTTGAAAATTATTTCTTCGATATGATTTAGATTTACCTTGTGTCCCAGTCTCTTAATGGACCTATTTTTTCTACCTTTATAAAAGATGCCCCGCTCATTGATCTCCCCAAGATCCCCAGTTTTTATAAAATCATAGGGTTGATCGGCATTTATCATGCAAAATCTAGATGTACTCCCTTAAATGAAGAGAAAATATAAGAGGTTTTATGCGTACCTGTTACAGAAATACCCCCAAAAGTGCACACAATTTTAATAAAATAATTTAAAGCTAGACCTACCTACACAAATTTCTCCAAGTCCATAACTTATAGCAAGCCCACTATCATTCCTAACTTCCACAAAAGTTTCTTCTAGAGCAGTTCCAATTGGAACTGAATCATTAACATTTTCATCAACAATTTCATGGATTGTAGCCCAACATGATAGTTCGGTGACACCATATAAATTGAATATTTTAAGATGGGTAGACCTTTTATACCTCAATATGTCCATTGGAAAAGGCTCTCCTCCAAATGCAAGAATTCTAAGTGAAGAATTGTTTAAGATGTTGTAAATCTGATTTTCATTCCATCTAAAATAGTGGTTTTTAAGAATTTATTTTAATGGTACCTTTGGTTTTAAATTGAACCTAAAAAATACTGAAGGAACTATTTGTAGAAATGTGACTTGGTCCTCTATTACTGCCTGACACAATTCATTTGGATTTAAGATTGTAATTTCTGGAACAACTAATAATGTGGAACCAGAAAATCTTGCTAATAGAAATTCAACCATTGATGGATCAAAAGTCAATGGGGTACCCCAAAATATAATATCAGTTGAATCAATTGCAAATCTTGTCCTAAAATGGAATGTGCATTTCAAAAATATTTATCTTTTCACATATATTGCTGTATACCTTAAGCTACTCACATTAGTTTCTATACAATGGTAGGGAACCCTGACAAATTTATTTGTACCAGTAGAACCCGAAGTCATCATCACACAAAATATCTGCTTGAAATTTAAGTTTGACAATACTGATTTTTTACGTTTCCACAAAATAAATTGTATTCCAGCTCCAAGTTTTATTTCATCACATTTGTAAAAAACATCCACACAAGGGGAATCGCCATCAGAAATTATCCAGGTGACGTTAAGATATTCAATAGCTTCAATGAAAGTTCTTTTCGTTAAAAATATAAAACAGCAGTTGATCTTCTGTAAACTAACACACTTTTTATAATAAATTGATTAAAAATATTTCTCATCTCACCTAATAATTAGTGAGGCAGTATATATATTTTTCTCTATTAGTAAGCCAATACAAATATCATTTTCTTCTATGATATTCAAAAATTTTTCTATAGCATCCCCAAAGTTAATAATTTCTTGATAGTTCAAATTTTTCGGCATTGTTTTGGATATTATTGCCATATTGTTTGAATTAACATTATCCATTTTTTTCTCTTGGGAATAATTACAGATTCACGAAGACCAAATTAGTATGAACATCTAAAACATTATTATTATTTATTATTATATTTCCTTGGTTATTCTCGTAGTTTAACAAGATTAAGTTGAAAATATAAATTTACAGAGAATACTATGTTTACAGTTATGATCTATGGTTGGGGCAGTGTCTATTATAAAATTGCCTATTAAAAGCAAAAAAGAAAATTCACTGGTTGGGATTTGGTGGTTGAGCGAGTGTCTCTAGTTGACTTGCCTAATGTCATGCCAATTGTAAAGAAGAAAAAAGTTTCTCTGGTTTAAAAAGTAAGTCCAATTGTCCAATTTGTGTTTACGCTTATTAAAGGTTTTTCTAAAATTTGTGGTGTATTTATTTAAAAGTGTAATTATGTCTACAAATTTTTCTTTTGGTGCAAAGTGAGTACATTTTATTCTTAGATGTATAAGTTTACTGGTTAGATCTTGTTAGGACTTCCGCTCCGGCGTTTCCTACTGGAAGTATTACATATGGAACTCCATCCGCTCAGCCACAATCACAACCAATGACTGGGGGATTTCAGTTCGGAGCTACGCCCATAACATCGTCTTGGGGGTCGACTATATTTGAACCGGCAACTACGGCTAAACCGACTTTGTCTTTTGGTGCTCCCACTTCCACCAGTTCGGCCGGAATTAATTTCGGTGGTTCGACATTAACGAGTTCAGCCAATAGTTCATTAAGTTTCAATCCTCCAGCTTCTACAACTAGCGGATTTGGTTCTTTGGCTGTACCTTCCAGTTCCATTTCTTTTGGACTTGGCGCTACAACAACCACACAAACTTCGTCACTGGGATTAAATTTTGCCGCATCTAGTGCAGCTCCGACAATAGGATTTTCTACTCCTAGTACTAGCGGGGCTGTGTCTTTTGGTTTAAGTACGGCTGCTACTACCACAACATCCACCAGCTTAGGTTTTGGTAAGATTATTTTGCAGTAAAAATGCTTGGTAAAAAAAAATAATAAATTTTAGGTATAGGAGCTGGTATTCCTACAACATCAACTTTTAGTCTTACTCAAGCATCTACAACACCGCCGTCCATTGGTCTCGGAGGTATAGCTACGACTCAAGCCAAAAGTGCTTTAGTTGCAGCCCAAAAAGAGCTTCCACCGAAGGAACAACCACTACCCAATGAAATTTTACAAACTGTGGAAAATTTCAAGGAAGTGGTTAAGCAGCAGAAACAACACAGTTCAGAAATAGCCAGATGTTCGGTTAGAGATTTTAGGAACATCGAGCAAGAGATTGACTTGCTCAATAATTATATCCATGAGGTTGAAAGTCAGTTACAAAAAAACAGACAGTTGACTGAAAAACTGAAATATGATACGGCCAAAAGTGTTCAAGACGTGGAAATGGCTCAGAGAACTCATGACATTCCGCCCGGTTTACAATACGAAAATAATGCGCCCGTAAACTTTTTTCTAAATCTCGCGGATCAGTTTGAGCAAACCATGCAAATGCTGAAAATACAAATTGAAAGTGCGGATAAATATGTAAAGGATAATAAAAAACCTGATCTTTTAACCCCACAAGGTTAGTTTTTGAATGAATTAATAAAGAGTTATAAAAGTTAACTGAATTTTTTTCCAGATCTTGCTCTCGGAATGAGAAGGCTCCATGAAACATTTGTAGCACTGGCCGGAAGGTTGCAGTCGGTACACAGCCAAGTAGAGTCACAAAAAGAAGCCTTCTTAAACATAAGGAAAGCATTAACCAATGATACGAGCAACCCTTTTGACAGTCTCGGTTCTCCACAAAGCATTGCATCAAACTTAAAATCACCATCGCAAAGTGCTCCAAAAGTAGCTACAGGTCCTACTCCTTTTAGTAACTTTGCTATGGGAAATATCAATTTGGGTATCCAACAACCTAGTACCGCCCAACCATCGTATTCTTCTGTGACAATTGGGAACACTTCAAGTTTCGGAGGTACGGGAGCTTTTACATCGACATTCACTGGCAACCAGCCTTCAAAAACTTCTTTGTTTGGTACAACTTTTGGCCAAGTCTTTGGTTCTTCTTCCTTTCAGCTGCAGAAACCCCCGACAGGCAACAAACGCGGTAAGATTGATTGACCAAGTTCGGTTTTTAACTTATTTCCATTGCAAAAAATATAAATAGATAAGATTTTGCAATTAATTGAGGATCAGAATGTAATGATAGGCAACATTAATTATAATAAATGGGAAGTTAATTATTTATTAAAATGTTTGTAAAATGTCGACTCTTCGCCGATGAACAATATTGAGAAAGTTTTTGAAATACTGCCATAATATTGCTTGGCCTAAGTATCAAATTCAGGCAAAGCGCTGTTATTTTTAACATTGGGGTATTATATACATCCTAATGTATCAATACAATAATTTTTGTTAACAAACTGTATATTAATCTTAAAAAATATGCAAAACATTTTTTTATAAATACTTTATACAAACAATAAAGTTATTTTATAAATGTGATTTTTTATGTGGCACCGACTTGCAAGACAGGTATCAGCAATTGGAATGCATCATGTAGGTAAGAGCAACTGTTGGAGGCCTAAAAATGTAAACATCAAGGAAAATACTTTTGAATGTTTTTTTGTTATAATTAAAATATATCAAAGATTTATTTGTATTTGTTTAAACAATAAAGAATTTATTTAATCTAAAGATTAGTGACCAGCTAGTGATGTTAATGGCTTTCCATGGAAGCTTCCATGGGATAAACTTTCTATTTACATCTTTATTCGCAGAAAATTGACATCGGAATTAGTTGGTATTAGCGGAATTGTCAAGGGAATTAGTAGTATTAGGTATTAGTTAGGAAATTAGACCCTGATAGAGGCCTCAGTAAAGGAATTAATGGGTGTCAGTTATTAATAAGGGAATCAATGTATTTTAGATGAATTAGTTTTATGAACTTGAAAATTTAGAGGCAATACTGGGAATTAATGTACGGAACGCGGTTTACACCTCAAAATGGCAACATTCTAATAATTCCATTTTACCTCGTAAAATATATTGGTGATAAGTTCATTCACTTTTTCCTTGTCTGCAATCTGAAGACAGTTTAGTTTATCACAAAATAGCCCTGCTTGTTTTGTAATGACTGACTTCATAACCAAAGTTAACCTGGAAGAGAAAAGGTAATTAACATCTGCCATGCTTTGTTAGGTTAAAAATTTTAGAAATATTTTTAATATATAATATAATCCCACAAACAAATAAATTTAAGTCAACTGCAGATGGTATTTAGTTCTTTCTTTTGTTATTTACTGTGAGCTAGTTTCAAAACTCAAAATTTAAAACTCACTGGACTAAACTGTCGGCTTCATCAGCAGTACTGCGATGTTCTTTAACCAGCAACAGCTCGCCAATTTTGTGAAACTGTTCAACGGCAAGGGCAGTAATTTGGGCCAATGACTCTATAGCCTGCTGATGCAATTCAACTTCGTTAACAAAGGTCAAATTCAAATTAGCCAGCCAAATGACAATTTCTTCACAAGTAGAAACTAACTTATCATAGGACACTGCGACATTTAAATCTTTAACTGCAGATTGAATTTTTCCCTTAACCTCCTCCAAGGCTATCTCTTCTTCTTCATCCTCGGGAAGCTCGCAAAGCTCTTTAACCTGCTCCATGGTTTCTTGCATTTCTTTAAGAGCATTTCCATGGAGGGAATCATTTAAATTTTCTAACTTCATATTACACAACTTGGATAGCATTTCTAGAGCTTCTAAATGGACCAATCCTTGATGATCATCAAATAAAGTTTCATAGTTTTTAAATTTTACGGTTTGCATCTTTTCCACAGAATGGATGTGCTGTTCAGCCTTTTCTTTGGCTTCTCTCAAAACCTGAGACAATACTGGTTTACCGCTATCAAACTTTAAAAATGCTCTTTTCTTTTTAAGACCAGGGTCACCTTCTTGTAAAACTTCCATAGTTTTTTTGCCTATACTTTCTAATGTATCCAAACCTCCAGATATAACCCTTGTACCTGTAGATTCAACGAACTTCGTGATATGAGATACACTGCCTACTATATTTCCAAAACCCAAAATCGGTGGAGTGCTTGGGGAATGATTTTGACCATTGTTGGGGTCTTCTAGAACATCTCGATCTTTATTTAATTTTGCCATTTCTTCTGGATCTGGTACACCCAAATTTGCTTCTAGAACCGTCGAAATTCCATGAGACACATGTGCTGTTAGGCTGGAAACACTATTGGTGGCAGTGTTCAAAATACTAGAAACATCCCAATTCCCCCAGTTGCCCCATCCAGAAACTGAATTTGGTTTATTTTGTTCAGATTTTAAAATTATTTTCGGATCTATTTTTTCAACAAAATCTGACTTTTGGGAGTCCTCTTTGTGACCCTCTACTTCCCAATCAATTTCATTCTCATCCCATAAATCAGTTTCACTAGTCAAGTTTTCATGTTTACCAACATTAGATAAATCCTGAACATTTTTTGAGGTTTCATTTTTTTGTCCCTTACATTTTAGGTCATTTTTATTATCAGATTCTTCTAACTTTCCTTCTGTCTCCCAATTAATTTCATCAACATCCCACAAATTTTCCTCTTTATTTTCTTCTAACTTTGGTTTCAGTAATTCGCCTTTCTTTTCTGAATTTACTAGGCTGCTAATATCACTAACATGTCCTATGTTTTTATTGAAATATTGAGGGGAATCCATAAGGTTCATTTCATTAATACTTCGCTCCAAGTTTTCTTTTTTTAATTTCGAAGAAGACCGATTCACAGAAGCAACACTTTCCTCATCCGAGTACACATCTTCATCTGCGCTTTCGAAATAATCGCTGTCGGATGTTTCCATATTGCATTCAGCAGCTTAAAGTCTTTCGAATTTGCCAAATTTTTGACTAACAATAGCAAAAACTGACAATCTCAAAGTCAAAAATTTTCGAGAATAAAAGGCGAAATAGAGAATAGCATTAGGCAGTGTTGCTGTGACCATTCGCCCAATTTTAGAATCTATGAATTTGGTTAATTTTTGTTGATTTATTACTTCAGATAGTTAACAAATAAAATCAAAATTAAACAAAAATAAAAAATCAAATATCTTGACTGTTAACTTTATCACCATAAAGAATTGAGTTTTGAAACTAGCCACGCTGAGTGCTTATATGTTCGAATCCCGTCGTTGGTGGTTGGTTAAATAGAATAGAAATGCGTCTCCGACATTTTATCTAATAAATACTTCATTTATTATTGATTTGTAAGAGGCGGGTAAGTTCGAATCAAGGACGTCGAAGGGTATTTCCGGCAGTTTAGCCTGGACAGTGACGTCGTCTATCCCCTTCTATCATATAGTGGCCTTACTACGGAAAAAATTGATGAGCTTCAGGTTGCATTGGTATTTTCGTAGAGGTCGATTTGTCAATATCTGGAATTAATCGTAACCATAAGCTAACTGGGTCGTTGTTAGTTAGCGCTGTGTTAATCGTTAACACGTGTAATAGATAAGCAGTTAACTCATAATCGATTAAATCTATCACAACTCCGCATTGACAAGCCAAACAGAAAAGCCTCAAACTCATTGAATCATTCACAAAAATGGTTGCAGTAGTTTGAAAACCACAACTGAATTAGTTATATAAAAATATATATGTTATCATAGGCATTAAATTTAAAATGTGAGCTTTTTAATTGGGATTGGTGTAACTTATTATTATTATTATTATTATTAAGACAATGTAAAATTAAATTATTTTTTTGGTCCCTGATAAAAATAACAGGCCAGTAGAGCCGTAGAAAGAAAAAAAAGTGACAGTAGCACACAGTCCATTAAAATAACCATTTGATGAAGTGAAGTGAAGAATGCGAAATTTTCGTTGATATGAGCTAAGTGCTAAAAAAGGTAAATAAAAACTTTTCTGCTGATTTGCGTTACCCTAATGCTTACAGTATCCAACCCTATTAGCACAAGACTGTTCCGGTTTCATTGTAGCACTCATCTATTATTACTCCATTGTCAGTATCAATATCTGGAGTATTCATAGAACGCGTTCATAGTACATCGGGCCTAACAACGAATGTGATCCTAAGCATTAGCATATTTTTTACCCGTTACTGATAAAACGGAATGCCGATAACAGAAAGAGGGGCAAATAGACAAGCGCGGAGAGCGCTTTACGTTCATTTTACGCAGTGCGCTTGTAGTTTGCACTCGCCGATGTGCATTTACGCTGTGTACTGCATGTTTTATTACGCTAGTCAGCCGCATTCTTTACTAGAGACTACGTCTCTCTCATTGGTAGAAATGAAATGACGTCACGCGTCCGCGACCGTTCTTGATAATGTGTTCAACATCCAACATGGCCGAGTAGTCGCTAGTGGTGTGTGTGCAAGTTGCTGTGGGTTTGAATGGACCATAATAGTGAATAATGCCAAGGAAACGGAATGGGGAGATACCTTTGCCCGAAGGTTGGGATTTTGGCCGGGACTACGACGGCAAAATATACTTCATCGACCACAATTCTAAGAAAACGACATGGATTGACCCCAGAGACAGGTAGGTTTAAAGCCACATTCCTACGGTGTATTTATCGTGACAGTTCGCGCTGAATAGTTTTATTGATCCCCAACACATTCGGTAGACTCCGTTTATCATGTAGGGTGTTTAATCGAGGGGGTAATATACCCCAAACGTATTACACGATCACAGCGGTTTTTCGTTGGTAAATATTTTGCCAAGCAAGTGTTGGAATTTTAATTAATAAACGTGAAAAAAAAACGAGTGTGTTGGTGTATCCGTACGGCACGCAGCTTTCGAAACTATTCAAGTTGGTATGCGGGAAATTTATTATATATTTAAAAAACATCGGGAGTCTGTGCTGCCACCGCGATGAAAATATGCGAATCTGTAAGAATAAATATTAGGTTTGTTGTGTCTAAAAATATTTACAATCTTTCTATGAACCCGATTTGCGTCACGGGCCAACCGAATTTCGGCGAATAAACCTTTAGAATTTTACCACGACATTCCGCGTTGTTTACTGAAACGGTCGGAGGGGTATTTATAATTTTTTTTTCGATACGCTCGCCATGTAACATTCTCACCGAACGTTGGTTCGCGTATGCAATACTAGAGAGGCGTGTTGTCTGTCACATTCCACTGTCTTATCGGGTACATTTAATTATTTTTATCCTATAAGAATTTTTTAAACGGGGGGAGGTAAGGTCGTATGTAGGTACTGTTGGGTAGTGTTAGAGATCTCGCTAGTGGATAAATTGTTTCACAATAGAATTTTGGGGTTGTTACATGGGAGAGAAGCATAGGACGAATAAAAGATACTACCTACGTGGTGTTACGTCGGTAACAACTTTTGCTCTGGTATTTTATCGCACTTATCTAGCTGATAATGGGATTTTTCTCACTATAAACTGCTCAGTCCTTGGTATTTTATTAAAATAGCCGACGCGTGACTCATCTTGGAAATATTCGCTTATCTTTTTCGTACTTCAAGTACGACACCAATTATTGGTATGAGCGATCGAATCAAAATATAATTAGTTCCGGATATGATGACAATTAGGCTTTAGGCTTAAATCGGTTTCATTGGGCATTCGGCTTATTGTTTTAATACATCAGCATAGATGTGTAGAAACTATACGCGATTCCCCGCTCGCAATAAATTTAAAACATAGCGAATGCTGGGCGGGCATTTACATACAATACCAGTACGATCCCGTATAAATAATTATTAATGTTGGTAATTGTCCCATCGAATTATGAAAATTCTATGACCATACAAATTTTGTGGTCGATTTTGCAAGAACAATTTCAAATGGGTCACCAATAAACATTTATAAATATTCCCAAATTCTGAGCACTTACGTTATTTTTCTTACTAGTAATTTAGCGCCATTTACTTTATCGACTTAGTTGCTAACATTGGAAGTCAAATTTTGCTTTTGCATTTTTAGTGTAGACCCGCAAAATGATTTGGAGATATTGGTTCTCCCTGTGCTTCAAATATCCTAGCCAATACCACTAAATACTGTCGTTTTCAAATATAACTGCTACTACAACTTTTAATTTCCACCTGGGCTAAAGTATTTTAAACGCTTGGGTGTGACGTTGGACATAAAACTGTTACCAGAAATTTGACAGATTTTGCAGCGAGCACAGTTAAAAATTGATATGCTTTAATTTTGTACCCTAGAAAATAAAATACGATGGCCCTCAGTCGCTGAGCTAACTGGATTTTCACGTAACTTCAAGGAAATCATCACCTTTATTTCAGCTACTAATCCCAAAAAACAATTTTTTATCAAAGGTTGACGAAATTATTTAATCACTTCTGTAATGATGTTAACGTGTTCCGCCTTAGTCGCTCACAGTTTACCACCTTAATTTAAAGACAAATTTTTCTTGTGGCGAATTTAGTGTATTACGTGATTTTATACAATTTACAGGTGGTAGGATAAAATTATCTTGTAAGTCGTTATTAATCTGTTGGGCAATAGAGATTATTATTATTATTATTTCATTGCAGATTGAAATAAATTATTCGATTATTTCTGAAATAATAGAATCGAATTCTTGAAATTTAGTTATATTTTTGGATTTTAGATTTGACGAATCTAAGAAAAATTGCAGAAGATTGAAAACGATGTCACACTGGTGCGAAACGTGGGATAATTGCAAAAAGCCTTAGCTTAAGATTGCAACTAATTTTGAACAACCGGATCTAAGCAGGTTATCCTAACTTTTTTTTTCTTGAGTTGTATTACTCCAAGGCCATTTTTTCGTCTATTTTTGTCACATTTCCTGTGCTTATGCTTCAATAATAACGCACCAAACCGTCAAAGTTTTCATAGAAAATGCTCCACATTTTTTATTTGAAAAGTTGCTTAGAATTCTTTAAAACCATACCATATTTTTTTCTTAAGATATCTATTTCAAAAAAAAATTTTTTTTTGGATTTCAACGACATTTGTTATGTGAATGTGATGTGATACAAAAATGCGGGTTATCCGAATAATAAATTGAAAATGACAATTTTCATCTCAAAATTGCTCTCAGGTTTCTCCAACACTTCGCGTAATTCTTTGTAAGAAATCTGATGGTTTTCCAACACTTAACTACAGCAAATAATAATCGTAAGCGCCAAAGTTTTTAGTTAACATCTATTTTATATGTTGTGAACTTTTTAACTCAAACAATTTTTTTAAAACACAAAATTTACATATAAAAGTACCAACACACTTGTGTTACTACGAACTGGGTGAAGACTTCTAAAACAAAGCTTGAACGTTGCTGTTGAATCCTGTATTTATAGGGATTTCCCTCAAGGTTGCTGACAATCTTCTAGAAAATTCTTTAAGGTATTAACAAGTGCGCACTTTATACAATGTTGCACATAATAAGCCTTTGTTCTTTTTCATATAATACACGTTGACTTTGTATTTGGCAATTGCTGAATTGTTATTTTGTTCTAGTTGATATTTACATGTCATTAGGTCTCGTCAAATGCTGTAAATGTCTTTTTCTACTTCCCCTGTAAAATACTTAATTACCCACCGACCTAGCGTGCGGGAAGCGTCACTTTACCACGTCAGTTTCGTTTCCTACGAATCCGAGCCACTTCGGACATTTCCGGGATTTTAGCGCACGGGTTTGGGAGCAATCGGATGTTTTCGGGGATATTTCCCACGCTTTGAATTTTGACGTTTGTCAATTCTGACGGTCATGTCAGTGAATGTATTCGTGTTGTTTTGCGAAAATGTACCCAAAAACTAACGGTCGTAGAAACAATATAGTATGCAACACTTTTTAAGTCACTTGTATATATATATATATATATATATATATATATATATATATATATATATATATATATATATATATATATATATATATATATATATATATATATATATATATATATATATATATATATATATATATATATATATTCTCACGTATTGATTCACGGATGGAAAAATGTGATGACACTATATTCCGGGATATCATCCGTTCGCTCGTTGAACTCCGACTGTAATCCTGCATCCGACTGGAATCCTGCAAATCCTGCATCAGACGTTTCGCCAAAATCTCACTTGGCATCTTCAATGCTCGCGCTCCGAATGTTCGAAGTGTATATATATATATATATATATATATATATATATATATATATATATATATATATATATATATATATATATATATATATATATATATATATATATATATATATATATATATATAATGCGCATATATAATGGGAATTAATCAGGATGTCACGTATGACCCAAAATCTTTTTGGAAACATGTAAATAGTTTGCGAACGTCAAGTGCATATCCCGGTAATATATATTTGGGTGACGACGTTGCCGACTTACTTATGAAAAGTGTGAGGGTGTGATTCCTAATTATAGTTTTGACTATAGTTTAGATTACAACTCCATGAGTGTTTCACTTACTGATGTGTTTGAGAGTATTATGAAGTTACAGACTGGATTTCCGCATGGCCCGGACGGGATTCCATTAGTCTTGATTAAGAATTGTGTGTGTACTTTGAGTAGGCCACTACACCATATTTTTAACCATTCCTTGTCGTTAGGTATTTTTGCTGACTTTTGGAAGTTGTGGTCAGTAATAGAAAATAATTTTATACCTACCTGTGTTTAATATTCTTTGGTTTGGTATACTACTTAGTTTAAGTTTATCAGTAATCGTTATTGTTTCGTGTGTACTACACCGCGTGTTGAATCGTGTGCGAATTATGCAAAATATCTGCGAGTCTAGTGTATCCTCCCTCCCAAATGTATAAAACACTATTCTATTGAGACTAAGGAAGTTATAAACAATGTTTATTTGACTCTCAATGAACGTGGTGCCAGCAAGCAAGAAACGGCCACACTGACGAAAATTCCAACATCAACTGTTTGGAAAATTGTGAATAATCCCATTTCAGCGAGGAAAAAAAGAAGCGATGCTGACATTTTCTCGAGTGTATATGAAAGTGATCAAGATATAATACGGCGTAAAATTTACCAGTTATACGAGGAACAAAGGGTGCCTACATTAGATATCTTAATTAGGAGGCTTGAAAAAGATGAAACCGGTGTTAAATGTGGCAGAAC